CAATCCTAGTCATCAGAAATTACTAATGCAAACAGCATGTCGGGTATTTTCATTTATGCTTTTCAATGTATTCAGCTGGATTGTGTGTATAGCTAGGCTGATAAATTTTGTGAAGATGATATGATAATGTATCAGCTTCATTTGTTGTAATAAATTTTTTATTCCTTTCTACACCTTTACACCAGCCTACTTGTTCCACAGTCTACAATTCTTGGTATGCTTTATTGTCCGGTCAGGAACGGCTGTCCCTTAGGAACACTGGGCTACTGCCAAAATACACACACTGCCGTGAGCCCCACCCACCTTCTTTGTGCCTAGCTGATCTCGGGGTGATCTATCCCAGGCACTCCCCAAGGGTCCCTGAGGAGCCGAGACAGAAGTGGGATTCTTGGAACCTGACCTGACATGCTGTGGAAACGAAATGCATCTTTAGGCTCTTTGTGCCATCGATGAAAATGTTTCCTACAGACACACCAAAGGCCTGGAGGAGGGGTGTTGTAGCCAAAGAGAAGCTGGTTTTCTTCCCCTTCCAAGGAAGCATCTCCTGGGTTTTGTGGCCTAGTCATTGTCCTAGTCTTACCTCCATGTTTTGAGAATTTTTTAACTCAAATTGTAGATAGTTGCTTCTCTTTCTTCATTTCTTTTTTGTTTCTTCCTCTTTTCTTGATATTTCTGATTAATATATGACATTTATACCTGTACTTTGTGTGCATTTATGCAATATTTCAACACATGTATACTGTATAAACTGATATAAACTGATATATTCTGTATAAACTGATCAAAATATGTAATTAGCCTTTTCATTTCCCTTTTTTTTTTTCAATGTTTGTAACCCATGACCTCCTTCTCTCTAATTCTTCACACAGGAATGATACATTGTTGGAAACTGTGAGAAGACTTCAAAATTCAGTACAAAATGTATTTTTGCCTGTGGATGGTTACTTGTTGAACTTCACCTGAGGGAGACTAAGCCAGGGATCTTACACTGCACAATTTGCTGATGTCATTCCTAACCACTGTAACTCTGAGATCCTTTAAGTTCCTTTCTCTTCTTCGTCTTTAGTGTTGCTCAGGTTGTTCAGTGTTACAAGGAAAAACAGCAGTGACCTGGGAACACTCACCTTATTTTTAATACAAATACTTCTTAATGTCTCCATTTTAATGGCTATGAAGTATTTGATAAATAGGCACCACATCAGGCTAAAATATTTTCCTAAACTTTCAGAAACATTTTAAAATTACAAGTAGGTATAACATTTTAAGATTTTTCTCCATTGGTAAAGGTAATCATATAATCTACACCAACACATTAAAATCATAATTATGTTTACCTGATTTGATATTAAAATTATTAGTTTTCCTAGAATGAAACCTTATTGATAAAAAAAAGTCATTTGGTTCATTATTCTGCTAGAATAATATTTTATTTGAATTTTTACTCATAAATTTTAAAGGCCAATATCTTAAAACTATTTTTTAACAATTTAATTATTTTTACTTGAAACACAGATTTACAGAGAAGAGACAGAGAGAAATCTTTCCCATCCCCCCACCCCCCACCCCCGGTTGACTTCCTAACAGCCACAACAGCCAGAGATGAGCTGATCTGAGCCAGGAGCTTGGGTACAGGGCCTCAGGGCTTTAGCTCATCCTCTGTTGCTCTGCCAGGTGATAAGCAGGGAGCTGGATGGGAAGTGGAGAAGCCAGGTCATAAACTGGTATGGGATCCTGGCACTTAGGATTTAGCCATTGAGCCATTACACTGGGCACCCCCCAGACCACTTTTTTGAAAATCTAATTAGATATTTATCTATTTATTTGAAAGGCAGAGAAAGAGGAAAGGCAAGAGAAAGAGAGAGAGAATCTTCCAACCACTGGTTTACTTCCCCGCCAGCCCAAAGTCAAGAGCCAGAAACTCTATCATGTTTTCATCCATAAGTGGTAAGGAACCAGGTACTTGAACCATCTTCCACTTCTTTCATCAGTATGTCCACAATGTATTAGAGCTCTTGTTGGGAAAACAACTTTGATTAAGCTTAAACTTTCTAATGGTTACTGGTATATTAGGGCATCATCACTTAAAATTATTGACACTTTTATATTTTTACAGATTTTCAAATTCATTTGTATAAAAACAATTCCAAAAATTAGGTATAATTTTATTATTTTATTATTATTTTGACATTGCTTTTACCCATTTCCATCTCAGATCTTTCTCCCATGATATGCCACAGAATAGATTTCTCAACCATGGAAAGGTTATCAGGACACTTTAATCTTGTAATAGATGATCTTTATGGTCAGAGCTGACTGCTGACAAGTTAAAGATGTATTCCTCTCCATGCCCAACCCTTGCAGAAGGAAATTGCCTCATCTAAATTTTTGCTCCTTCCATTGGGCAACCCTCACTCTGTGGTGAGACAAACACGTTTCAATCTGGAAAACTGAAAGATCATCTCAGAGTTTATTGTGGTATCATGTGAGTTATTCTAGCTTTGTTTGTGCAAATTTTTAATAGTTTCCTCATTTGCATGTTATGACCAGTACTTTGTTGAATGCTTAAGGGATCTCTCTAAATCTTTTAAATTGTTTTTACATTTAGTTGCCTCAGGAGTACTAGTCACCTTGACTTCCCCAACTCCCACATCTTGCTCCTTAAAACAAGATTGAAATACTTCGCTGAGTTTGCTTTTTCCTTGACATGACCAGGAATCTTGAAAGAAAGAGAGAGAGAGAGAGAGAGAGAGAGAGAGAGAGGAAGAAAGAAAGAGAGGAAGAAAGAAAGAGAGAGAGAGAGAGAGAAAGAAAGAAAGAGAGGAAGAAAGAAAGAAAGAAAGAAAGAAAGAAAGAAAGAAAGAAAGAAAGAAAGAAAGAAAGAAAGAAAGAAAGAAAGAAAGAAAGAAAGAAAGAAAGAAAGGAAGAAAGAGAGAAAGGAAGGAAGGAAGGAAGGAAGGAAGGAAGGAAGGAAGGAAGGAAGGAAAGAAAGAAACTGAACAATCTCTCTACAGTGAAGATTCATCTTTGTTTCTTGTCTTTCGTGTACGGCAGTCCATTACCTGACATCCATTGCCTTAAGAATTTTTACTTCATATTTTGTCCATTTTTTAGTTGTTTCAAGCTAAAGGGTAAACTAGCCCCTTTGATTCTATTCTGATAAGCTGAAGTCATTCCTGAGTACACAAAATCCCAACTCCCCTCTCCACTCTGGCCTCATAGTTGGATCTGCAGTGGCATAAGCTCCATCCTTCCCCATTAGTTAGAGGAGATCTGTTTCACAGCCTTAGAAGGACTGTGCACACAGCGAAGGGAATGCACCTCTAAGGGCTCTGAGGTCAGGGTGATTTCAAGCCTCCAAAGCAAATTGAAGAAATTTCAAAAAAACAAATTTTACATCTGGGAAAGAGCAATATTGTCCATCAAATTGAGAGCATCAAATGAGATGCATTTCATTTAGGACCTTCAAGATTAGAATTGAACTCGGATGTTTTCCTTAAGTGAAGATTCTACCAAGCTTTCTTTCTTGCAACCAGATGCCCAAAATTAATATGGATGTCTTAAAGAAGACCATGTGCCTACTAACCTTTTATCACAAAAAAAAGACATTGACATCACCAGGACATCAGGTCAATCATGTCATTCTGGAGGTCCCAGTTTCCATCTTCAGTAATCAGAAGTTATGCCAGTGTTCTCTGAATTCCTTGGTGGCACTGATCAGCCTCACAGAAAAGCTTGCATACAACCTTGAAAATTTGGTCATCCATCTCTTCTCATCTCCTCCATACATTAAATGCATAGCAAAATCTACTAATTCTTTGAAGAAATTACTTTAAAGTATCTTCTATTTTGTCATACTCTTTAAAATCAAATTAATCAAGCAGTCCCCACCACTCACTAAGCTCTTGTTATACTCTAACACCATATAATACATACATATCTATCCATTACTTGTAATTTGCCATTCAAGAAGCATTTTATGCAAGAAAGATCATCTTTGATGAAATATTAATTTCAAATGTCTATGATTTAGCTATTAATAGAGTGGCCTTTGGGGTTACTTTATGGAATTTTGCAAATAAGTTTCAGTTTATGACTAGGAAGGCTCTGAACCTTCAATTTCCTATTATCTATGTAAACAATGACACCATTGCCTCTAACTACATAATAAGTTTTCACCTATTTTTATTAGATTGTGACTGTCTTAATTTCCAGACCATTTGGGACAAGGTTTTGAGTATAAATAACATCTCCAATACCACCACAGTTGATTTTACCACTGACTATACTATTGGTCTTCTCTTTTTCCACCTCTAATTCCTTATGGATCTTCATGTCCTGGCCTTTCCAAAAGAATGCGTAAGGCTTATGCTGGGCATAGGTTGACAAAATTGTCATTATTACTACTAACGCTATTATTTTGTGAAAGATACCTGAGCTGATCAGCAAAAGGTGGTGATGATATCCCTCAGTTTTGTATCTCCTCCTGGATCCTTCTTGATCTGAAGGAGATCAGTCTAGAAAAAAAAAGCCTGTGGGCAGCAGCAGATTCACAAAAATGACCCAGACATCACAACCTGAGGTGCACAGCAAAGAGCTGATTGGAGGAAAGTGTGTTGTGAATTGGAGAAACTCAAGAGTTCAACAGAATTGATGCTCCACCAGTCATTACAGACATTTGTATTTCTTCCTAAATTTTTTTCTAAAGTATAAAGTGGAAACATAATTCTACCATACATAATTCTTGTGAAGATGAAATGATTTGAATATATAAATATCAAGACACAAAATTAGACCCCTAAGGACATTGGTTTACAAATTCAGCAAATCAACTTCAGTTAGGTACTAAGGAGTCCACACTAATTCCTGACACTGGAAGAACAAAAGTGGGTCCAAAACACTCAGTATGTGAGCATTCATGTTGTATCTGAACCCCAGATCCCAAAATAGAAACAGAGGAAACAGTGTAACTGGTGTCTCTATAGATCATCCCTTCCACATAGTTAAAGCCCCTTCTGCAGTAACTTCTGAAATCCCTGCTTTAACTCTTGCGTACGAAAACCATACACAATAGGATTCAGTGCAGGGGGAATAAGGTGATGCAGGACATTGAGCAGGATCAGGATATCCATGGGGACACTCTTTCTGGCCACATTCGTCAACACCACCACCAGCAGGATGGTGCTGAAGAAGAGAATGAGTATGAAGTGGGAGCCGCATGTGCTCAGGGCCTTCATTGCAGCCCCCTCAGACTTGAACCTAAGCACAGCCCGTAAAATGAAGGTGTAGGAGAGGAAGATGAGGATGAAATCAGATCCCAGCAAGGTCCAACCAATCACAAGCTGGTAGATTCTGTTAAGGGTGAAATTATCACAGGAAAGCCTGGACACAGACATGTTGCTACAGATGCAATTCTCGATGACATTTTTTCCACAGTAATGAAGCTGAGCAGAGAGAATGGGAACAGGTGAAAGCAACAAAACGTTTCGAACCACAACAAAGACACTAGCCTTGGCCACAAATTGATCAGTGATGATGGATGGGTATTGTAGTGGATAACAGATGGCCACATAGCGGTCATAGGCCATGACCATGAATGTGCAGGACTCCATGGGAAGAAAACTATTCATGATGAACATCTGGAGGAAGCAGGCAGAAAAGCTGATGGGCCTGAGGTCAAACCAGAAGATGGCCAGGACCTTGGGGATGACAGTGAGGCAAAGCACAACGTCCAGCAGGGAAAGGAGGCTCAGCAGGTAGTACAAGGGCTCATGCAGAGAGGCCTCCAGCAGGATGGTGATCAGGAGGGTGGCATTGGCCCCCATGGCCAGGAGGAAGAGGAGGCTGAGGGGCAGGGACAGCCAGTGCTGCCAACTCTGGTAGTTAGGGAAGCAGATAAGCAGGAATTCAGAGACTGCAGCAGTGTCATTGCTGGATAGTGTCATGAGATAAATCCTAAACTGAGGAAATTTCACCTGTGTATGGAACACACAGAAATTGGATCAATTTTAAAAAGATAGAGCTGAAAAATATTCCTCCAGCACATTGACATCCTGAAGTTGATGACTATATGCAAGACAAATCACAACGGAAAGCAAAATTCAATGAATATCGACATGAACAGAAGCCTTAGAAATGATTTCTGAAGTTAATTTGGAACATACACACCAGTACTAAGTTAGGCAAAAGGGAAATAATTTGAACATGTTACAAAACTTCAAAAAAGTTTCTACATGATGCTGACAAATTGACTAACTTTGGTTCCATGGGCCTGGGAAACTTGGTTTACAGAGTCATCTAGAATTCACAAACATTCCATAGGGTGTTTCTAACCATGGACTCTTTTAGTAAGTAATGCTGACACACACAGTGATAAAGATTCATCTTTAACTCACCTTTGATGTTACACCTAAATTAACCTGAGATTAAAAACTTTATCATATACTCCCAAGCCTATTATAAACTAGAAGAAAATAAAGATTGATTAAATATGAAGAGGACAAGGGCCTGGCGATGCACCCTAGCAGCTAAAGTCCTTGCCTTATACATGCCAGGATTCCATATATGTAAATAAGGAAACAAGTCCTTAAGCAAACAGTTACTATTACCATTTAAATACATCTAATTTTCTTTTCTTTACTTTCCCACTGCTGTTCCTAATGTTCAAGATGACCTGAGACCTAGAGGTTGCTAGAAAAAAAGTAAGGGAAACATTTTAAAATGTTGGAGTGCGCAACGATGTCTTAGGAAAGACTCCCTCCGCACAGGAAACAAAAACAAAAGTAGACAAATACGATTTTTTCCAAACCAGAAGATTCACACATCAAGGAAAACAATCAATGAAGTGAAGATACAGCCAACAGAATGAAGGCGGGGGAGGGGGAGAATCCCCAAGCTACTAATTCAGAACAACAACAAAAATACATAAAATATTAAGTTTATAATGATTAGGAAGGCTGGCATGGTAGACTAGTAGGTATAGACCTCGCCTTCTATGTACCAGGTTCTCATGTGGGTGCTAGTTCCTATCCTTGCTGCCCACTTTCTGTCCACTCCTGCTTGTTGCCTGGAAAAAAAGAAATAGGTGGGCCAAAGGCTTGGGACCCTGCATCCCCTTGGGAGACCTATAGGAAACTCCTGACTCCAAGGGTTAGGTCAGCTCTACTCTGGCCCTGGAGGACTTTTGGGGAGTGAATCAGTGGATGGAGAATATTTCTTTTTCTCCTACTCTCTGTAAATCTTCCTTTCCAATAAAAATAACTAAATCCTAAAAGAGATTATGAAATAAATGCTATGATTCTGAGTTTGCAATTGGTTCCAAACCTCCCACCAAAAAATTAAAACAACACAGAAAAACATTAATTAGCCTGCAAGGCAGAATTCGACAGGAGACTCAGGCCAAAACCACCACCACAAAGCAGTGGCTGAGTCCTTGACTTCTCCTGGCCCAGGAGCAACCATCCCCTCAGGGTGAGTAGCCATGAGGGAAGCCTGGGAGCTGGATTAACGTCCAGCTCTACCCTGCCACCAAAAGCTGGCGGCAGGACAAGTCAGGGTGGATTCCGAACTTGGGGCTGGGGGCGGTCTCAAATCCCATACAGGGTGGCACTTGTGGGAGGTGCCCCTGCCAGGCAGAATCCAACTGGGGATTCAAGCCAAAGCCACCACCGCAAGGCCGTGGCTGAGTCCTTGGCTTTGGGCAGCCAGTGCAATTATTGTTGCCAGGCTCTGCCTGCTGGCCGCCCAGCAGTGAGCTCTGGGGTTTTTATGATAAGAAATAGCTGCCATGAATAAGGCCAGCTTTAGTGTAGGTGAGACATGAATTCCTTGCGATTCCCAGGAACAGGGACATGAAACTTTAGGGCAAGCGTGGAACTGACACCTCAAGGTTTGAAGGGGAGAATCCATAAGTCTATTTGAGCCAGACTGAATCACCAGCCAAATTAGGAATCCTGAGGATGGCTATTAGCATAGAGTTCACTGACTGCCACACACCAGTCCACACCAAAGCTATGCATGGGGCCCTGTCTAGCTGGGGACCATAACTTGACTGGGTGATGGAACAGTGGACTGGTCACATTCGGTCAAGACACCTACCAGCACGCAAGAGAATTTGGTCCAGGGGTAAACTCTATGGGGGAAGTGTGGGCCTAACCCTGTGGAAATACAAGTCCTGCAGGTTAGTTTGTATGCTGTGGGTGGCGAGTGACTAAGCTAGGCTAAGCATGGCACCTGCCATCACTTTTGGGTAAAGGAATCAATGGCATTCTGGGCAGGTCAAGGCAGCAACACCCGAAGGAGCATCCTAACACATGATGTGGAGTGGGCGGAGCTGCAACTGGAAGGGGGTAGACAGGGCAGGGCCAAACAAATTTCAACTAAAAAAAAAAAAGACTAGAAATCAGGATGGAGCACATGTCATTCCAACCTATGCTCTTACAACAACTGGTCTACAGGAGGCAGGGATACTATGCCACAGCATTGAAGGCAAAGGCTGAAACAGATGAGGGGAACACCTGTGGGCCTCATGTGAGCTAGATTGGGGAAGGGCCTGATTGGGCTGACTGTTCCAAATGTTGCAAGCAAAAATAGATTGGGCAAGTGTGGGAAGGGCTTTACCACATCATCAGATGGCAGAGATTGGCACCGGGGCAAATTCTGGCATTTAACTTAATGCCAGAACCACCTGGAGAGTGCGCAATCCAGAAGTTGGGGTGGCCTAGTAGGCAGATAGTGGGCACCTCCCTCGTGGGTAACTACTCCCACTGGAGAGCACGGAAACCAGGACGGGGCAGGGTTGTCAAACAGAAGGGCACCTGCCAGTATGTGTGTGGGCTGGATAGTGGGGTGGTTGGGTCGAACTAGGCTTCAATGCCCATTGACAAGTACCAGTTTAATGGGAGGTGGGACAGACTGAACAAGCCTGTGTTACATACTCGCATGGATGGGAACTAGGGAAGGGAGCAGGCCTGGTGGGGGTTATGGGGAGTTGCCCCAGCTAGGCTGCAGCTCCCACTGGTTTGTGTGAGGACTGAGTATGAAGTGGGTAAGCTCAGGCTGGACCACAATAATCATTGGTCCAAGTGGATGACAGGGCTGGAAACAGAACTGACCCAGCGGAGACTGGTCACATTAAGCAGGGGCATGAGATTAGCAAACATGCTAGAGAACCATGCCCGAGGAAAGATTCTGTGGGGGATGTGTGAACCAAACCCTATGGAAATTCTACCCCCACAGGTTACTTCAAGAGATGGAGTGGTGGCAGACTAGGCTAGGTGTGACTGGGGAGCCTGCCATTGACAGATTGGAGAACCGATGACAGTCTGGACTAGATGGGGCAGCAGTGCTCGAGTGTGCATCCTGAGTGGGCTGTGGGGTGGGCCAGACTACAACATTCACTAGCTCATGCAAAGCCAAGTGAAGGGCCGGACTACGCCAGGCACTGGCCTAAAGCCCAGTGGCATGTATGAGAACTGTGTCTGGAAGGGGATCAGGGGAGAAACTTGGGAAGCTCCCCTGGCAAGTCATAGCTCCCACTGGTGAACAGATGGTCTGGACCTGGGGGCTGGACAGGATGGGCAAAGTAGCACCAATGGCTCATCAATGTATGATAAGGCGATGGAACAGGCACACCGGGCAGTTCTGAGCAAACCTTAGCCCACAAGTAAGGTTGGAAACCAGGATGGAGCACAGGACATGCCCAGCTAGGTTCTTGCACCAACTGGTGCCCAGTATGCGCTGGGCAGAACCAGGCTAGACTCAAACACCCATTGGTTCCAGAGGAAGACAGGGATGGAAACAAAATCAACCCAGCAACTGCAATCACCAGCTGATCGGGGCAATGGACTGTACTGGGCCCTGTCCTTGCTAGTACATAGAAGAATCTGGTCTGAAAACAACTTAGACAAAGTTTCTTTGGGGATTCCCCCAATCAAGCTTTTGGACTCAGAATGCTACCCATCAAATGACAGAGGACAGAACAAGTCAATCAACCACCTCAGCTATATGTTGGCAATGAAAATACTGGGCAAACAGAGACGCTATGATGGACTATGTCATTCAGTGGAATCTCCAACAACCGCCTTGTGCTTGGAGTAGTGAGCATGGCAGTAATTCAGAACTGTTGAATCATCAGAACCACTTGAGCAATAACCTCGGAGCATGCCCCACATCCAGGACCTGGGTGGGTGGGAGACTGGGTGGGGCTTCTCCCTAAAAACAAATAAAAATTAAAAATTAAAAAAATACATTAACTAAATGGTCAAAGGAAATTGATGTGGGATTGAAGGCCATATAATTAAAGTCCTGGTGTGAATAGGGACTGATACAGCATTGGCTATCTGAGACAAGAAGAGTCATAACACAGAATGCTTGTTGGAGCTTGGGGATTTTCCATAAACCATTTCATGTAAGGGTCCTCTGATCGCAAAGCCTGGTCATTGATGAGTGGAACACTACTGTTTCAGTCCTCTGATCTACTAGTCTTCTCCCATTATACATGCACTAGGGTACAAAATAACCCTTGCCTTAAATAGCTTACAACCATGCACTGCACAGCATCCCATCATCATGCATTATCATTCTCCTTGCCTTCTCCCTCTTCTCTTTCCCAGTTTAACACTTGTCTCTGAAAGAACCTTTACCTGACTCTGCTATTTGTGTCCACATCTGTGGTCATGCTTCGCAATTCCTACTCTTTGATCCATCTTCATCTCTGCCTTCACTGTGCCTATCACACTGTGGGGAGCTGGTCTAATTCAGCTCATCCCTCCCATCCTAGATATTACTAAGAACATACTTAGCATAAAGCACCACAGCAGAAAGAACAGAAAAGAAATAGGAGGAGAGAAGTGATTGGTATCTGGCATTAAATGTAGATGGAAGTCTAGGCAGAGCGTGGGTTAAGCCTTTGAAAAGTTTAGTCAATAAGAGATATTTGGAATTT